CGGTTTTCTGCTTCAGGAAGTTGATGTAAATGTTAAATTTCAAAAATGAATCAAGTTGAATTCCTGAAAATGAACATTCATTAGATGCTTGTATGGGATGGGATCCTATGTACAGTGGAACAATATCATATCGAACAATATCAGATCAAGGACCTTATTTGAGCAGGTATGAATTTTGCATGTACATGAGTAAACCCAGTATTCTGCAAGCCTGACTGGACTGACAGAAGTGCATTGTCACTAGTCTAATCGGTCAAGGTGGCAGCCGGGAATCTGTCGTCAAAATGCGTTTATGAATGGCTTGGATTTGTATTGGCTCGGCTACACAGTTTTTGCTTCTTTCACTTTTGGCATGTAATTAAAATGTTATCGAGTAATTACAGGTTCCTTCCTGTTCATGAAATTCATGTAGCCATGGTTTCATACTTTGCGAGTATTTACTTCTAACATTGTCAGTCAAATATATGTGTAGAAATAATTACAGAGAACGTCGCTGGAGCAAAAGTTTTGACGAGTGAACTTTTCTTCATAAAGGCAACGCTGTTGCCCTGACGTGTACAAGTAAACTTGCCGAAACACTGTTTCAGTAAACTTCTCCTGAAGAATTTCCGACCGATTCAAGCCTCTCCGTGGCTCTGAACATCAGCCTCGTCTGGTATTCAAGTTCTGTAAGAAAACTGTTTTCTGTAATACAAAACGTGGAATAAAAAACAACTTCATTTTATTTTATTCGATCGAGTTTCATCTCACCGAGAAACCGTCCAGCTTAACTTTTGCCACTTCAGAACACACGAACGAAAAAAAAAATTGTTAACAAACTATTACGAATTGCTGCATCGCCCAAGCGGCTCAGTGGACCTGAAAGAAGGCGCGAGTGCATTCGGCTTTCAAGCGAAGTGGGAAAAGAAGGCTTCCGCGGCGACCTCTCCTCCGCTCGGTTTTCCGTTCTTTCCCCCATGTTCCGTGACGTCACGAATGACGTCATGAAAGAAATTGCGTGTTTGTGATTTATTTCCAGTTGGACGTCCGTCAGTGGTAAAAGCAGCGCTGACGCCGTGTATCAGCATGCGAGAACGCGTATATTGGATGTACAGGGAGTTTCCACCCCCAGATCTAAGCCCTCTTATCTCCGCTTCCGCGAGTTTACCTTATTAGCGTGGTGCTGATTTTGTTCCATATTTTGTCAGACAAATACGCAAGTATGCACTCCCATGCATGACTCGAAGCTCTCCGACTGCTCCTAAGAGAATTTTTTTTCACAGCCACCGTCTCCCGTGAATTCGAAGACCACGCACGCTCGCCTGTTCACTGTACTGCTCACTGTACACCTGTTCGCTGTAACACCTGTTCGCTGTAACACCTGTTCGCTGTACACCTGTTCGCTGTACACCTGTTCGCTGTAGACCTGTTCGCTGTACTGATCGTCGCACTACGCTCTATCCATTGTGCGAAGTCCCATCGTTAACGGATTGATTTCACGGATCGCACCCAGTGCAAACCGGGAAGTTGTCTTTTTTTCTATCGGAAACGGGCGCACTGCCTAACTCCACCGTCGCGTTAATTACTACGACGCGTCGTCTTGACAGCTGCGTCTGTCGCTTCTGTCCGACAGCTTGCAGGAAAATTACGAGGCTAGCGAGGACCCCGATAACACTACAGGGCACTGGTTGTACACAACGTGGGTTGTATCGCAGCCTCGTAGACAAATGTTTTTTTTTTTCCTTTTACGGCTCGGCAACGACGTCTTGTACTAGCTTTCAACCAGTTGTTGGAGCATCAATAAAGACTATATCCGTACCTGGAAATATTGTAAGAAGCCACCGTCAGCATATTAAGTCGGTAATAACACGATTACTAGTAAACGGTAATTGTCCACAATACGAATTATATTTCTAGATTACAAAATAGCTGAATTTCGTAACAAATTACAACTGGCCGAAAATAATGAGACTACATTATTATTAACTTTTACAAGCGACGAAGTTACGTTGAATTTATTTAAAGAAAAGTTAAGCAAAAGTAATGTCTTTTGTGGCATCGGGTTTTCATGCGTAGTTTTCCTGTGGCCAGCCTTATTCTCAAACTTGAGCAAGACACCCAGGTTTATTTGTATCGTTACTTTTCCTTCCGTTTTTTATTATTTTTTATTGACATAACGGAAGCGGACATGATATATTTTATTAAAAACTCAGAATGTAATCACTATTTCTTTTGAAGTTGATATAGCTTGAATTAATATATCGCACTACTAAAATACCAGCCCCTTAATGCATGCCACTACGTTACTCATTACAGCAAAATGCTGTTTAATTACTGGGTATGGGTTACTGTAATTTCATTACTGTCCCGTCTGGTTCAAGTCATGTCCAGAAAGACCGCACGCACACTGTGCAATGGGCGCCAACAACCCGAAAATTTTCATATGTTAGAAACAGTGTCCATAGTTTAGTGACCTAGAGGTTACCAAACCTTCAATTCTTTAGCAAAAAGCGCATGGCAAATGCAACGCTGCTGATTGTGATTATGCTGGCGGTCACGAGGACTATAAGATATGGTGCGTTTCAACCGTGGGAGGTGTACCAATAATTGGGCTGCTATAAGGAATATGATATTGAGAGACTGACAGAAATATTGACCAAAAAGGCGGGAAATCATAGTAATCTGTGTTACCGAATAATAGGGCAAGATGAACGAACGAACGAATTAGTTATACTTAAAAAAATGCAATCATTCAACATGTAATCCAATAAAATAACTAGAAAATTGATGTGGCCGATAGTGAAATAAGACAGTGTTTTCCTTCCAACTCTATTCTTCCGGGATCATCGCGCGATGTTTTTGAAAATACCAGGTAACAGCTCGCCAAATACAGCAAAGAGATCTTGCAACTTCCCCAAATGAAGGAACAATGAAAACAAAAAGGAATAAAAAAATCCACAGTGTTCGCCTATCATTATTCTTGGCTTTTACCTTATAATGTGGGTATATGCCATATTGACGACATCACATAATAATACTTTAGGCCACTCTCTTGACGTGAGTACGTCAGTACCATGCTGATAAAGGCAAACAAAAATGAAGTCTAAATAATATTTAATAATGCCGCGTTGCCTCATTCGGAAATTCTTCGTTAAATTTTTTTCTTCAAATTCTTGTTTTCATTTTTTGATCGACACGCGACCATTTCGTTGTAGTGGGTTGCACCATTTCACTTGGGATCTATCATAATCTCGTAGGTTTCTCGCGATATCATACGTTTGGATGCATAACAGCAGGCTTTTCGTGAATACACAAGCCTCGCCCCCTATAGCCGAACTGACAAGCAACCGGCAAGATGACGCGTAGAGATGCCGAAAAGACAAGTGACTACTATACTATTAAGTGTTTTGCTGTGGGCTGCAATAATTGCGGTTATACCATTGGCAACGCACGGCGCCCACCTTGCTGCCAGATGATATCGTGATTGCGGTGACGTTCTGACAGCGCCTCGTCACGAAACCTTTTTTTTTAACTCGACGCGTGACAGTAACAAGAACAGTTAGTTTATGGCGTGTAACGCAGCATATTACAGACCGCGAAGTGACAAGTCGCTAACATGCTAATCGCTTGGTCCTCACGTGCGAGGTTCGTCTGTGCGGCTTTTTTCCTAATCCCTCCGACCTTGGGCGACTGTGAAGGAAAACTTGCGCGCCTGCAACATTGCCAGACCCAGACTGAAGCAACGAGAAAGAAAATAAGTAGGGGTGTGTCGTGTGTGTTTTTTTTCCCCTTCGAGGCCTGGTGTTGAAAGACAGAGCATACCCATTAAAATTCCTGTCCACCAACGCGTTGTTGGCGTTTTCCACACTGAATAAACTTTGTCGCCAGACTTGCTTAAGAGTGCACATTGCATTCTAATAAGGCATGGTTTTATTTTTGAAGCGATTGTCACGTTTTGCAACAAAGCGTTCACAGGGCATCGTTCTGACTTGCTTGATTGATTTGTGGGGTTTAACGTCCCAAAACCACCATTTGATTATGAGAGACGCCGTAGTGGAGGGCTCCGGAAATTTTGACCACCTGGGGTTCTTTAACGTGCACCCAAATCTGAGTACACGGGCCTACAACATTTCCGCCTCCATCGGAAATGCAGCCGCCGCAGCCGGGAATCGAACCCGCGACCTGCGGGCCAGCAGCCGAGTACCTTAGCCACTAGACCACTGCGGCGGGGCTCGTTCTGATTTGCTGCGTTCAGTGTATGGGGCGAAACGGCGGAGGTGTTTTGCCTGTATACCGTAGCCGCAAGGGATGTCGGGTAACTAAGGAACGTGCGTAACTGCGAAGGATAACAATTGTGCTGATCTGAGATACATTCTCTATCAGTGTTGTTTTGCGGTGCACTTTAGACGTAACAAAATAAAAACAAATATGGAACACGAACTGATATTTTAACAACGGTAGATGGAAAATTATGTTTTGAAACATGGATTTCTTCTTCATTTTCAATAACTTCAAAAACATAGCGTAGATAACAAGGAACGTTATCCACCATACTTTTTAGTCGCTTTCCTGAAGGTATGAGCTGACTTGACTGAATTTTACGGCTTATGCGTATCCGATGCATTACGGAGCTTTTTTTCTCTTCATAAACAGCGGTGTTTCGTTTCGCCAGCTCTTGGGGTTGCCCCACAAGGCGTAAACACTGAGAAGAGCTGCGTAAGTGCTTCGGGAGCATAGGTGATGTACTCGGGAATCTTTCGGTGTAGTTGTTCAGGGCAGGACTAATTCAATGACGGTGCGAAAAGTGAGACTAGCTTACTTTTGAAAGGATGGCCGAACGCATGCTCGTGCGTTACGAATGGCCTGATATCACTGATGTCGTTCATGTTATGATAATGTGTCTTTATTGAATCTTAAATATACAACTGTTGTTACTATACAACGACGGTCACTCCGTACACAGCGTACTACATCAACCTCATTTGTTAAATCTCTAATGCACTGTCTCTTTTCATGGCCAGTCATCATGGAGAAGCAGTCGGGGTTCCATGAGTGGCTACTTCTTGGCCAGCAGGAGCATGCACTGGATACCCGTGAGTATAGATACCGAGACGGCTTCGGTAACTCATTGTCACTTTATTTCAATTTGTTCTTTAACAACATACATGTCAAGGAATGGCACGGCTAAAGGCAGATTAACTGCCTGACAGTGGCCCTACCCACATAAGAACTGTTCAACAGCGTTGTGGACATAATTAAGAATATTTACGCTTAAAAGCAGAAGCGATGAACGCGGGAAAAAAAATCACATATTGCAACTCGTTTGCGAAACATGGGGTTATGCGACATTTGCGCAAGAAAAAATTTTAGACGGGCGCTAAAGTGAAACAATAAATTACTTTAGACTCATAAATTATACTCTGAAAAGAGGGCACCACTGCAGGGTTTAACAGCATATAAGAGATTCAATGGGAAAAAATGTCACCGGAATTTTTCCGTCGAAATATTCGGTGAGATGTGAAGGTCCTGCAAGGCATTCTTTCGTATTTTTGCCCCGTTGTCTTAACGAAATTTCCTGAAACTTGGTGTATTAAGTATTTACCTCCTTTAGGTGTCAATGGACATCGTTTTTTATGAGTATAAACTAAGTGGGCATTAATAGATACTATCATGTTCTATGACGTTTCGGTGACTGGTGCGGAATCTTCAATGGGGCATTACCCACCGCATTTTCTTTTTACGCGTTTTCTTGCTTACCTAGCGCCCTCTCGGAGCAATCATAGTGTTTTTTGGTATCATGAAAGAGTAATGTTCAATGCGATTTTTTTTTGTTTTCGCCTTGAGTGTCCCTTTACAGCATCCCGTGTTTATTTATTCTCTGGATTGCGACCTTGTTTCAAGCTCGCTTTCTAACTGGCTCTTCTGCGCTACTACAGGTTGGTGCTTCGCTGTTCGCCAGCAACATTGGAAGTGGTCACTTCGTCGGTCTTGCCGGATCGGGAGCCGCCACGGGCATCGGCATCGCGGGGTTCGAGCTGAACGTACGTAAAATGTCCGAGTTGGGCGTTCGCGTCTTGATCATTTGGTGCGCAGTTTGTAGTGGAACGCTCGAAACAAGGCTAAAGCGCAGTTAGGTTAACGCGGCCTGTCGGGACGAACAAGCGATTAGAAAGCGTACTAGCCAACAGAACTATTTGTACTAGTAGATAACTCCGTGAAAAATCACTGATTCAGCTTTCGACTCTCCAATGCGAAAGTGACAACGCAGCTGATGCAATGAAAAAGAAAGAAAATAAAGCAGCAGGCGATTTCGGCCCTATAGAGGCATGTTCTTGTAAGTTGCAAGTTTCCAGAAGAAGAAACCATTTCTACGCAACTTCATATTCTCCGATTTCTTAGGCTCCTGGGGCAATGCATGATTGTTTAGGCTGCTCTGTTCTCTTCCTCGAATAGTAGTCGACAAATTCGCTGCATTCGGAGCTTAATAACTGGTTTTCAAAAACGCTGCGTTACAGCAGGTGCAGTTGCTGTCGTCATTTCCCACACTTATGAGTTGCTTGTACATTTAGCTTACTTGTATATCTATATTCATTGTTTTCTTGCAGGCTGTCTTTATTCTCATGATCCTGGGATGGTTCTTTGTCCCTGTATACGTGGCCTCAGGGGTAAGTGTTTTCTTGTGTCATTCACATCACATGCTCATTCTGACGTTCAGGGAACGATTGCGGCGCCACAGTCGTACAGTTGTGGCGAAATAAGTGGATAATTGCGTTGTTGTCATCGCTACACTCTAGTGCATTACTGCACCATAGACAGATTACGTACTACCGTGAATTGAGTCAGCACTCGCCTCAGGCATGAGGCAGAAAGGGGTGTGGCTCAGAGCGCGCACAGCAAGTTCTTTCAAAAGGCAGTGGAGTCTTCTTTCTACTCGGTTTACGAAACCGAAAGACTTGTTTGGCGTAGATATGAAGCCTTTAGGTCCTCAGCTGACCTCTCATATCAAAATTGGAAACACGAAAGGTGCTCCTGTTCTTGATGTTCAATGTGTCACGTGCGAGAATTGGTTGGACACGTACGGTGGCCTTGGAAATCAATATGTTAGATGTGTTGTATATTGAAGAATTCCACGAATGCGCGAAGAAAGCGAGGACAGGTGGATGGAACGAACACTACACCATGCGTGCAGACTAACTATGAGATCTGCCTCTATAGCCTTAGATGACTCGTCAAACGTGAAAATTGACCGCGTCGGCGTCCTGCGTTGGCGACGGCGTCAACACGAGTGATGCGGAAAAACTATTCCGCGATGACATCGCCGCATCACGTCAATGAGGTCGTCAAATGTCACCATTCGTCGTTTTGCGACGTCATCATGAGGTAACAAACGTTACGTCACACAATGACATCATCACGTGACCTCGTCAAATGCAGAAAGATTTCCGAGAGGGTAGGGGAAGATCAATACATCGTCTGAGAAGCAGAGAAAGAAGGCTTTCGCCTTCGAATGGTTTAAGGCGAATGCATGCAGGATTGTGAGTTTCTTTAGTTATCAGTGCGCGCACTTTGCTCAGCTTACACAGAATCGAGAATACGGCCATTACAGCGAACGGCTTGCTATATGTTCAGTGTTACATGAATTACATGGTGGATGTTGGGCGTAACTAGCGTTTTATTTTAATGATGACCTCTTTTTATTTCGTGATGTTTTTTTATATTCTGCAGAATGCTTTTCCGTGCACTTGTGGTCAAATTTTGAGGGTATCTACTAGACGAAAGGGAGAATTGCACTGGATTTTTCCAGAGCGCACTTTCAGGCCAGGGTTATGCCAGCGTGCTAACAAGCTAAGAATGCGCGCTTGTTCTTTGACTAAAAAGAATAAATAGTTCAAAGCCAGCGCCCGTGGCTTTTAGCGTTCGTTCCTTGCATCTGTACTTGTTTTTTTTTTCGCCTAGTTTTTAACCTTTGCCGTAAGATCAATGAACTAGTCCACAAAGGTGTCCTACTAAGTTAGTAGTAGTGCATTGGCGTAAATCATGGAGGGGGGGGGGGGGTCAGAGAGGTTAGGACCGTCCTGATGTTTAGGCGAGAAAGGGACACCCCTTTCAAGTGGCCGCTCTTGAGATTTAGGTTTAGAACATCACATATCTGAGTTAATTTACAGTTAAGTAAGGTGCGCTAAACTTTTTTTGAAGGCTGATTATCTTTTTGCTTGTACCTGCAGTGTTTTATACGTTTTAGCTGTGCGAGACTATGGAAATAACAAAAGCCACTCGATCGTTTCAAGAAAAAAAAAAGACTGAATAGGACTATGTACCTGCTGGAACTCGGACTCCATGTCTTTCGTTTCAGAGCATGAAATAATTTTATGTAAATAAGATTACAACCACTATCTGAATAAATTACCGCCATGGTTTTATTTGTGTCCCCCCTTGGAATTTTTCTGAATTAACGCCGCTAGTAGAAAGCATCGTATTTGAAGTGATATGATCCTCCGGAGCTGTGGTAGCGTTTTTACGCACAGAACGTAAATAAGCAGCAATGCCTTGATTAGGGCAAATTGGTTCATTTTTAGAGGAAACTTGGAAAGCGCTAACGTTGAAGACGAAAGAAAGTGTTGTTTCTGTTGTGTTTATTTTGACTTCTTTGTTCGTATTTGTTCATCTTCTAAAATACGTTGGTCACCGGTAGATAATTACACATTTATCCGCAGAGACGCTAGCCAAACTGTGTTGGAAATGGTGAAAAGAGGAAAGATTTGCTTTGACGTCCGGGTTCGTCGGAACCTCAGCTACCCTTTATTCTGTTCTTCAGGTGTACACAATGCCCGAGTACCTGCGCAAGAGGTTTGGCGGCCAGCGGATACGGGTCTACTTGTCCGTGTTGGCACTTCTCTTGTCCATTTTCACGAAAATCTCGGCAAGTGGTCTTTTCTTATTTACTGGGTGGTATACGTATAGGAGTGTTGAAGACAAGCAAAAGATAACCACTGCATCTGCAGGCATGTCGTGATTACGAAAGTTGGCGAACAATAACAAACTTTCAGCGTTTTGCACGTGCGCTGTGAAGCCGTATTTAGTACGACTTAATTAGTTCAAGATGTCTCAATGGTGATTTGCAAGATGTTATTATACAGTAAATAGGGGCAATTAGGCGCTTGTGGGATTTCAAAAATTAACTTACCGGTACGCTTCGAATCCTTGCTTGTCATACAGGCACATGTGTGTAACAGATAATCTGTCCAAAAAAAAAAGCGAATCATTTCGCAGTGCTAGAATTTCGCATCATCATCTCGAGATACTTGCAACTCTGACCGATAGATTGAATGACGATCGAGTTGGTCAAACTAACTCGACTAGGTAATTCTTAGTCGAGATTTTTAGCTTGTAATCTTATTGAGATTTGTGGATTAACGGTTACCGCAAATACAAAAACGTGTCAGTGATGCGCTGTCTAGCTTAACCAGACAAACAAGGAGCTGAATAAGGGTGAGAGATAATATTTGCAAGGAGCTAATAATTAAAGTAACCAAGCGCATTGCACTTCGGTGCTGGTAAAATATTTCTGCAGCAACGTATAGGCGAAATACATTGCCTTCTTAAAACACTTTTTTAGATAACATTCACGGAACTATGTAGTATAATTATTAGGGTTACACGAATAGTCACAATATGTATTCGTGAATACGTAGCATACACGTTTGACCTACCTGCTCACTTCAAAACATCCACTCATGCTCGCAGAAAGGCAGTCAACTTGTAATGCCATCTCAGACACGCACGAAGTCGGTCGATATAGACGATATAGCTACAGTTTATTAAGTCCTTATTAGGCCATTTAAAGAATAGGTAGACGAACCAAAAATGATTAGATAAGTTACTCATTCTAGAGACGTCAGTGGGAAAAGAATTCAGTTGGGCGAGCATGGAGGTAATCGGAACAGTCGAGTCTCAGTCATTCAAGTCGAGCCGTATCTATATACGAAGGTCATCAGGCTGTAAATATATCCGCTAGAAAGTCTCCTTTGTTCTTTCAAAAGACGGGAACGAATTTAGTCATAACAAATCTGCTGAAGTAATAGAAGAGCTCTATACCGCAGCCATGTTTGCTACTTTTTCATCTTTTTTTTTCATTTTAGGCGGATCTCTTTGCGGGAGCCATCTTCATCAAGCAGGCTCTGGACTGGAACCTCTACGTGTCCGTCTGCGTACTCCTGGCCATTGCCTGCATATTCACCGTTGCCGGTACGTGCACTACCGCCATTGCGCCGTCACTTCTTTCTCCTCGCATTTTGTCCTCTTCGTTGACTCTGTCCTAGGTGGGTAAGGGGCATTTCAATGGCGGCCCACACCTCACGGGATAGAGTGTCTTGTATGTTCAACATTGCTACATCTGGGTACTAGTCAGACAGAAAAAAATGAAAGACTCGTGGCAATGCCCACCTTATGTCTTTTGAGTCTGCAGTTCTCACTCTATTTTCTCCCTTTTTCTTTTTTTTTCGAAACCTTTCGCAGGTGGTCTTAGCGCCGTGATTTGGACAGACTTTGTCCAGACGATCCTCATTGTTGTGGGCGCCTTTGTTCTCATGGTGCTGAGTAAGTACGACTCCCAAAGCGCATTTTATTTTTTTTTTCTCGCCTTCGCCGTTCTTGCCTGCTCTAGTGTCGCTCTCCTCTTTCTTTCTCTCTCTCTCTCTCTCTCTCTCTCTCTCTCTCTTTCTTTCTTTCTTTCTTTCTTTCTTTCTTTTCCTTTCTTTCTTTCTTTCTTTCTTTCTTCTTGCTTCTTTCTTTCTTCTTCTTTCTTTCTTTCTTTCTTTTTTCCTTTCTTTCTTTCTTTCTTTCTTTCTTTTCGTTTTTAGTTCTCGATTTTAGGCCCCGAAGACGAGGTCACATGGCGAAATATAGTCGCGCTTCATCGCGCGTGCGAACAGTGCTAACACAACGAACGCAGCAAACATTGTCAAACGAACGCTTCGGCCGACAATTCGTGTTCTCTCTTTTCTCTAATATGGTTAAAAAAAAAACTAAAGGCGAGGAACACGATTCAAGCTGACGCTGTGTACATATATATATCGGAGCGGTGAGTTATGAGTTAGCTCAAATGCACGCGGTTGACGTCAGCGTGAATGAAGAAACGAAGAAAAAAAAATAAGATAAGTGACACCGTATATAGCTATTCGAGGATGAGAGTTAACCTACGCGCAGATCGACATTTCGCTTTATTCCTAGATCTTCAGTGCTGGTCATTTCGTTTTTGCTTGATCGTACCTTCAATTCGTCAAAAGTGGTAATTGCATTGTTATGAGAACGTAAAATAAACACTACCCAAAGATTAGTCATGATTAACCAGGGCTATCATCATCTGAGTGGATACAGTATAGGATTCTCGTAAACTGTGTACATTTTTTTCAAGCGTAGTTAATGAAACAATGTTGTAGGGGAGGTTGAAACTCACCATGAAACTGAACGCTTGCGCAACTCCTAGACAACTTTCTTTTTCATGGTTGTAGGCCCGTGTGCTCAGATTTGGGTGCACGTAAAGAACCCCAGGTGGTCGAAATTTCCGGAGCCCTCCCCTACGGCGTCTCTCATAATCATATGGTGGTTTTGGGACGTTAAACCTCACATATCAATCAAACTTTTTTTTTTCATGCTGGGATCTGCTTCCGAAACACCAATTACCTTTTCGTAAAAGCTTTGGCATTGTCGAAACTATTCTGTCTGAATTGGTAGAATTGATCGGTTATCATCTGCGTTGCGCAGGTTTCATACGAGTTGGCGGCTACAACAAGCTGATGCGAGACTTCGCCTTCGCCGAGCCTACCAACAACAGTTACGTGCAGTTCGACCTGGACAACACGGTCCTTGCTCCAAGGTTCCCGACAACTACAACCACCTGCTGCGCTCCGCATCCGACTCTCAGCTGCCCTGGACCGGAATGGTGTTTGGTCTGACCATCGCCGGAGTCTGGTACTGGTGCTCGGACCAGGTTGAGCAGGCACCCCCACCACCCCCCCCCCCCCCCCCCCCCCCCCTGCGCAGATGAATAATTTCAAATTGAAGTTGATGAAAATTATGGCAGAACATCGCGAAATACAGGACAATGAAATACTCTGGACATTACGCAGCGTTGTGTTCTGTGTTTTTTACTGCCCCGTATATCGCGCTGTCATTCCACAACAACTGGCCACTTAATAAACCCTGTCGAAGTAAACCTTTGTGCGCTAGTTATAGCGAAAAATTATTGATTTATTTCCGTTTTCATATTACGTGTTGGCGCTGCATGGTTATCTTAGACATTCTATTGGTGCCCAAATCTGCTCCGGTGCAAAAACTTGGAGATTAACTAATAAAATCATGAGCTTATGAGACACGCGAAAGAATTAAGCCATGAAAGGAAACCGAAAACTAACAAAAAGAAAACAGTGGTGCAGATTAGAGCACAGCTGCATCAATCCTTTATTTTAAGAGATATTATAAAGGGTCGGAGTAGCTGGCGTTATATAACGCATACAACACAAACCCAATGGTATATTAATCTGAAAAGCACCATTTTGTCATCATATATATATAGCCAAGGGAAAAGGCGTTGTATCTGTGTCGGTAATTCTCCGTCACATTATATATATATATATATATACTATATATATATCTATATATATACTATATAATATATATATATATATCTATATATATATATATATATAATATATATATATAGTATATATATATATATATATATCTATATATATATATATATATATATGTGACGGAGAACCACCGACACAGATACATAAACGCCTTTTCACTTGGTTAGTGGTGCATCAGGCTCAAGTTACACTGCTGCTGATCGTCATCACTCTAATGGTATATATCGTTAGGAAGATAGGTGCATATAGCTTCTGATTGCTCCTAATACTTTCTTGAATCACGGGCATTTCCGATCCAATCGCATAGTTCGCTTGCGTCGAGATCGTCTTTGATGGTTTCTACATATCTCTCTTATAAGTTTATGAGACGTTGAGGTAACCTAGCAAACTAACGAGTCTGTTTCTGGCGGGATATGTGCCGCACCAACGAGGAACGAAACGAACGACGTCATGCCGACGACAGTGCATTCCGTTTCTCCCCTTGTTCGCGTGTCGTGTCCGCGCTGCTAATATCGGTTATTGCGAGCAAACGTTGAGCAAGAACAGCGCTAAACGACAGGACGATAGACAGGACACAGACAACAGACTTGCTGCCTTTTCTTGGTGCAGTCGTTTAGTGCCGTTCTAGTGCAGACCGTGAGAGAACCTGCTCCAACGTGTACCCTTCTGCGACAACCTGTTTGTGCTTTGAATAATGACAGCGTTAGGTAACGCTGTAGTTGTTACCATTCTGAGAATATATTGAGCTGTCTACATTCCAAGGTAATAGCTACGTTTGAAATTTTGTTTCTTCCTTTCTTCTCTCGCTATAGTTTAACACAAAAATTTTCGCCTATATTGTGGCAAATATAGACTGTATATAGGCGGCCTTACAGCAAGCACTTGAGTACAGCACTGGTCTATGTTTAATTGGGAATGTATACTGGGTCCCTTATTCATGTACACTTTTCCGTTTCATGTTTGTTGCTATTGTAACAACCTAGTTAATTTTTATTCCACTGATACGTAATGACCGATACATAGTTTTTAGGGTAAATAAAATGAATGAAATGAGAATTGTAAACGGAGCTGCTTGTTGGTTGAGCAAAGAATGTTTGTGGACCAGCACGTCGCAATATGATAAAGAAAAACTTATAATTTGATTCAATTTCTTCAAGAGAACTCTTGCATTGGGTGAAATACTTATAATGGAGCTAGCTAGGCAGATGTGTGGTTGCACAAATGTACGATTTCATTACGTTGCGGGAGTGGCCGACGGCCGCCAATAAACAACTAGCCAACACGGATTTACAGTCAGTCGACGCTAGCCAACGTCGCTAATGAATGTGTAACCCTTATAGACGTCAAATAGCTTATAAACATAGTTTTGTTTCTCGTTTATTTAGCCATTGCATATATTGAGTTCATGATAGTTTTACATGGTAATGCGTTCGCGCTGCTTTGCGCCACCGGATACTTTTCTTCCCAACTTAAAATTTAAAACCCTACTGGTCCTGATATTTATACCTCATACAATTGGTTTTGGAGAAACCGAATTTAGTCACTATAAATATTTTGCTTTACTAAAACTGAAAAGAGTGTTTATTTTTTTATATTTTTCGACAGAGCTTCGGCGAGTTCAATAAATCAGTGTCGTTGCGCCATCTCGAAACGGTTGAGCGAAGCGCGTCGTGATAATGAATTCATCAAGCGCAAGAGGTTTTTCTCTCGCGTTTCGTGTCGCAAGATGGGGCGACAAGAGCGCCGTTTGCACGGGCGACGCACGCGTGTCGCTTTCCGACTGCTTCGCGAGGCTGTCTAAAAAAGCATTCGCGCTGTTTGTGACGCATGTAAATTGCGAAATGCCTCGAATAGATGCACTAGACGCAATCTGCTCGAAGCGTTTCGTGCGATGTCGCTTTTGCGCGTACCCGTGTTTTTTTTCGCCTGTAACATGCACCGTGAACAGCGATTCGGGGAAAAATTTCTTGAAATCTTTCAGGCGTATTCTTGCGAAGCTAACTTTTTTGGCAAAGCCGTAAAGAAATGCCGTGAAGACAGCATTGCAGGTCATTTTCGTTTGACTATAGGCTATAGCTCAAATTCTAAAAAAAAAAGAAAGAAAGAAAACGCTGTTATGCGCAAGGAGATACATGCTACACAGAATAAATTTTCAACATTTAAACGAGTGGCCGGGGCGGTGAACGACAGCGAACAGGCGACTCTACAAAATAAATTGAAATAAGGAATGAAATAAATTTAGGACGAAGAGAGAAATAGAGAACCTCTTCTTTGTCGGGCTCTGTGTTGCGACAAAGGCATTCCTCTAAGCCAGCTAAATGTGTAATGGCATGGTGGTTTCAGAGACTAACCGGCGTAAGCATAAAGAAAACGTCGTGAGAAATGTTCTCTATACGAATGTTGCTTGACTAGTCGTTCTTCCTTGTAGTTTTGGTGTCATGGTAAACATCTTTCCGTTGATCGTATACGCCTGTACTGCTGTATGAAACGCCCTATTAAAGTTACAAAGTCGAAAGCGTGCTAGTATTCATGACAGTGGCGCCTTCATCATTCTTTGTAAAAAGTGTGAAGAAACTCGTCATTTTAACCCCGTATCCCTCGTTCTTTTATTTCGCAGCAACGCTAGAAAATCGTCTATTTGGAACTGATGTTCGCGGAAAAATATCTCGTTACTAATCCAAAACTCCGATTTTTATTCTCCTGACGTGCCGTAGAAACATGTCGTTTGCGGTTAAAGTTGACTGTCTGTGGTGTTAACTGGTGCTTGTGGAAGCATTAACTTCAGTAGAATTTGTGTAATTGATTGAAAATCATCAGGGCGCAGATGTCGACGTGGATAACGTATTTCCCCCCGCCACGTTGGTCTAGTAGATATGTCACTCGGCTGCTGGCCAGAAAGTTGCGGGATCGAATCCCGGCCATGGCGGCTGAATTTCCGATGAAGACGAAAATGTCCGAAGTCCGTTTACTTAGATTTAGGTGCATGTGAAAGAACCCCTGGTGGTCAAAGTTTCTGGAAACGACCACTACAGTATCTCAAAATAACGTGGTGTTTTGTGACGTTAAACACCAAGCATTATTATTAATAACAACAGTTTTCACTTTATCTTCTGTTATTGCTGGCCGTGAGATCGTCTCTGCGATAGATAGATAGATAGATAGATTGTTTGACTGATTGATGAATGATAGATTGATAGATAGATAGATAGATTGTTTGACTGATTGATGAATGATAGATAGATATATAGATAGATTGTTTCACTGATTGATGAATGATAGATTGATAGATAGATAGATAGATAGATGGGTAGATAGATAGATAGGTAGACAGATGGGTTGATTAATTGATTGATGGGTAGATGGGTTGCTTGATTGATTGATGGGTAGATGGGTTGCTTGATTGATAGATGGGTAGATGGGTTGATTGATTGATAGATGGGTATATTAGTAGATAGATGGGTAGATGGGTAGACGGATGGATAGATAAGTAGAATATAAAACAAACAAAACAAATGAGCATGGTTTGCTAAATACACGTACTGAAGGTCAGATTACTGCAAAAATGAGGCGCAACTGTAACAATGCAATGTTTGCAAAAATAACAATACAATGTAACCACGGAACCAAATGAAAACAGATGATTATAAGGGTTCTAACCTGCGCGAATGCGACCGATTTTGTAAAAAGAGGGGGGAAATCGGTAAATGAATTTTGCTTTGAAGTGATTAGTATTTGAGGCTCTGCGATCCTGCCAACCGTTTCTGATGCGTGACGCAATCCTCTTGCAGGTTATCGTTCAAAGAGCCCTGTCCGCGAAGAGCATGGTTCACGCCAAGGCTGGCTGCATCCTTGCCGGCTACCTCAAGCTTCTTCCCCTCTACCTCCTTGTCCTGCCTGGCATGGCTGCTCGTGTCCTGTTTCCAGGTTGGCTAGCTACTACTCTCTCCAACGTAAAAAAAAGAATAACTAAAATGATTTGCATAAGCAAAACATACAGATGTTTTTGATAATAACATATTGTATTATCACTTTTGTGTGTGTTTACTTACTCATTGTGCTCTTTATATTTTCCTTCATTTCCACACTAAACTTCACTTGTAAGTCGGTGCTTCGTCAGTATCAATAATTGATAGCCTTCATTCTTGATGTTTCTGTGCTGTTCGCTTTTGATCTGAAATCTAACACATGCATCACTTCCCTTTACTAATGGCGTTACGTAGAACGTCAACGTTTCATGATCTATTGCAATGTTCCTTTCGAAAAGAAGCTGTGCATCTAAACTCCACGCGAAAACTATTTCACTCGATTGACACTGAATGCATTGTGCAAGTCGCATGCAAGTGCAGAACCGAAACTCGCCGCTGATCTTTCTTTTTTTCTTCTTTTTTTTACTTGGCACAAATAGACCTCGTCGCCTGCTCGAATCCCGACCGGTGTCGGGAAATCTGTGGCAGCGAAAACGGCTGCACCAACATCGCCTACCCTCTGCTCGTCGTCAAGCTGATGCCCATCGGTAAGCGAACGACTCCTGATAGCGTTCCTTTCAGTCGAGACTAAATGGATTGGGTCGCACACAGTTTTGTTCAAAATGTAGACGCTTAAAATGCGAATTGGCGTTGCTTAACTTCAGCATGCAGCCCTACCGCGCTGGTTTAGTGTCTATGGCGCTTGATTGCTAACCCGAATGTCGTGGGATCGAATCCAGGCTGCGGCGACTGCATTTTAGGGGGAGGTGAAAATGTTTGAGGACCGTGTAGACTTTTTAGGGCACGGTAAAGAATCCCAGGTGGTCGAAATTTCTGGAGCCTTCTACTACAGCGTGTCTCATAATCTTCTCGTGATTTCAGGACGTTGAACCGCAGATATTATTAATTAGCACTCAACATAAAAATAACAAAAGCACGACAAATACGAAGAGGAGACAATATTGCCTCCTTTACAAGTACATCGTGGGTTGCAATTGGAGCATTATGGGAGGAGGGCTGTGTGTTAAATTCCGACTGCAAGGAGCTTCTGTTAGAGAATCCACAGGCAGGTAAATGGTGCCAAGTGAATTCACAGTACTTTTTAAGACACCGACCATTTTTGCTTAGCATTAATTAGGCAGCAAACTAGATATGAAATGCGTAATAAAATTTCTGTTACTGAAGATGAAACCACACTCGAGTAGGCCCTACAGGTTGAGTACAGAAATTGGCACAAATGCAAACACCGCTAAACAATGAGTGCATGTTCGTAACTAGCTTAAAAAACAACAAGCGCAATAATCAAAGCACAAATAGGAAAATGTTTAATACGACGATATCGCCAATGGGTGGTACACTGATACGCGGAAATAAAAATAATTGATGCTGAGATATCTATCAGTGGAGATGAGGAACTCTACCGAAAATGTCCTTCAATCTCTTTCTACCCAATGATTGCTTCACCATCTCGTTTGTTCCCCTCGCAATGCAGGAGCTCGTGGCATGATGCTGTCAGTCATGTTGGCCGCCCTCATGTCTTCGCTGACGTCCATCTTCAACAGTTCCTCGACCATCTTCACCATCGACATCTGGAAGAAGTTCCGGAAGCACGCCTCCGACGTCGAGCTGCTCATCGTCGGTCGCTCCTTCGTCGTCGTCCTGGTCGCCCTGAGCATCGTCTGGATCCCCATCATCGAGCACTTTCCGGGCAGCCAGCTGTTCCACTACATCCAGAGCGTCACCAGCTACCTGGCACCACCCGTGTGCGCCGTCTACGTCCTGGCCGTTCGTGGAAGCGCGTCAACGAGCCCGTGAGTGTTCTTGATTGGAACAATCTTCTAATAAAGATCATTGCCGATGACTCTAAATCAATGCCGTAGCGAGGTCAGCTCTACAAGTTGAATGGAGCTAAATTCTAGTAAATATGGCACATTTATCTTCTTTGTTCACGGTAGCGAAGGGGCTGGGCCCTTGTGTGTCTCATTAAACTTAAAAACTCACCGTCGTCGTCTCGTCGTCAACACTAATGGCACCAAACATCATCATCGCCATCTTGATTGTTCCATTTGATTGCTCCTTTGGGAGGATTCGAAGGCGAATGCGAGCCAATTTGGTAATCTTCATCTTAATCATTAGGATAACAATATTAATCATGGATAACATGATAACATTGCTAATATGGTATCACGAAGATTTATAGATTCTAATCAGAACATAGGGCTGTTCTCTTTGTTTCCTTAAAAATTTATGCGATATCTTTTGTTTCCCTGTTCACTTATAGCTCAGAAATCACGAGAAATGGCAAATTTTTTGTGAATCTTCTTGATTAATTAGAAAAAATATCTGAACGACCCCCCCTTTCCCCTGAATTTTGGAAAGCAAAAGCAGTGTTCGATTTCGACCATTTCGAACAAAAACCACTGTTGGTCCACGACAGTGGCCGCCGCTTGCCGTTCGAACTCACGGAAGTACTTGCCGTGTCGCAGGGTGCCTTCTGGGGTCTCATGGTCGGCTTGATCGTTGGCCTGGCTCGCTTCGCCTGGGAGTTCTCGTACGCTGTGCCCACTTGCGGCAGCGGAGTGGAGGACCCCAGGCCCAGCATCATCTCGCAAGTGCACTACCTGCACTTCGGCGCGATACTGTTCATGGTCTCGGTCATCACCACGGCCGTCGTCAGCCTTCTCACGCCGCCCATCGACGAGAGACACGTGAGTACACCTTGACGATCGCGAAGCGCCATCGAAATCCCCAAAGAAGACTTACGAGCCTTCGACCTAAAATAGTGCAAAACGTGACGCTTGTTGTGTCGAGAATGCAAGTCGTTATTGCCTACATATAGAACATGCATACGTGCTGCACTTTCTACGGAGCCTACGGTACTCCTACGAAGAAACACGTTACTTTGAGGGCAAACTGGCACATTTCTTGGTGTAGTAGTCACAGAATGCTTACGCATCAGAAAAAAAGATTAAATCGCAGCCAGTCTTATAGCGAAGGGTCTTGTCTAATCATTTTGCTCGCATCATGCGAAAGCTGTGGATCGATTGTCTTGATTTTTACGCAATATAGCGATAACCTGACGATCACTCCAAGCGATTACTCCACAATAAACGGTGATATGTGTACGAAAGGCGCCTGAGTCAAGGTAGAGTCGGGTAATGGACTCAATTCTAAGTGTCACAGTTTTAGTGTTGTATTTCGCCAAGTTTCTTGCACGTTGTACTCCATGCAGCTCTACCGGTTGACCTTCTCGACGAGATTCAGCACCGAAGTCAGGGAAGAACTGGACAAGCCAAAGAAGAAGGTGCCGCCCACAGTCAGCGCAGTCATCGGAGGTGCGGACAATCTGGCGTACAATAAGAGTACGGACAACCTGGCTTCCAACGATGTACCCTTGACCATCAGAGGTCACGTGTCGCCACACGAAGTGATGCAAGCCCCAAAGAAAGGTTCGTACACCTCGATCGATACTTTCGGATTGGGAAAATGTTTGCGCCAAGCAGATGCGAGAAATGAGACTGAAAACGACTGTCTATATACTCGACGCCGATATTTCGCTGAAATTAGACATAGTCTGAGTCAGATGGAAACATGTTTGGTTGGCGAAGAAGTTGATGACAATAATTATTAGGAAGAGGTGCCGACCACGGAAGTTATTCAAATCAAAAGTGTTTCAGCTTAAAAAAAAGGATCAAAAGCCTGTATACTATAGTCTTTAAAAAAAACGCCAGCATGTAAAATCAGCACACATTTATTCTGTCCTCAGTAGACCTGTTTTTCGGTGTCAGAATGTGTGGTGTGTTACAATATATGCTGAAAGTTGAAACTACATACTTTACAGAAACACTGCAGTGACCAAGCATACCATGTCTTACGGAGGGTAGTGCCTGTTTTCACTTGAAATTGTTTTCAAGTTTTCCTGAAAAGTTATCGAAAACTAACCTTTACGCGTGTTTATAGGCGGGCGCTGGGTTCCTCTCAGAGAGGGTGAAAGTTAGTCACAGCGCCCCCTTCTTATGCCAATTGATGGAGGTGCTTTTGCGACCCCCCCCCCCCCCATCCTTTTTACGTCAATGTATGGGACTGACTTTGCAACACCCGCTTTTAGGTGACTAGGAAGGAGGCCATCCCTTCGCACCTCCCTTTATGCGCACGCCTATGAACGTGGTAATGTGTTTGGTTGTGTGCGTGGGTGTATATACACATGTAAAATTGAAGAAAAAAAATAGGGGTAGAGGGTTGAGCTCCCAGAACCACCCACGCCACTGTTAGACAAAGTATATTCAAATCTGTGCGCGAGTATCGTTGCTTTTTTTTTTCTTATTTTGTCTCTGTTTTGAAGTGTGCCTCATTTTCATTTTTATTTCATTTGCATTGAGGCAAACAGACAACAACTCGCCCAAATAGCTGTTCGATGGAGGCGGAAATGTTGTAGGCCCGTGTGCTCAGATTTGGGTGCACGTTGAAGAAACCCAGTTGGTCGAAATTTCCGGAGCCCTCCACTGCGGCGTCTCTCATAATGATATGGTTGTTTTGGGACGTTAAACCTCATATCTCAGTCAATCATCATCAGTCAATTAGCTGTTCAGTCACTGGCTTGCTCAGCATTAACTTGCTCTCCCTCTGCATTCACCCTCGCAGAGCTAAGAGGCTTCAAGAAGGCGCTGTTCTGCATCTGCGGCGTCACCGGTACGCACGAGAAAGCGCAGGAGATGGCGGCCAACCAGCTGCCGCCCGTGAGTCCCGAGCATGAGGCCCAGGAGGCGGTTGCCGCGCTGGACGAGAGTCGCGTGTGGGGCACCGTGTGCACGCTCAACGCCGTCTTCCTCGTCGCCGTGTGCGCGTTCATCTGGGGATTTTACGCTTGAATGACAACGACTGCAGCTACCGAGCAGCTGAGGACTCAAACCGGACTTCCAGTCAGCGTGACACGTTCTCGCTTTTGTGTTGACATCGTGGTGATTGCGACTATGGGACTAGCACCACTGTCCTTGTGTTTCTGGAACTTTCGTGGGGTACTTGAGTAGCTCAAAAATGATAGGGAACAGTGCCTCATTTGACGACCATCCACTTAGCGGGAAAGTTGTACCCTAGATCATTGCCGTGCCTTGCCGAAGTACCGTAGTACCGTAGTACGTATTGTATAAGTACGTTGCTCGATTAGTAGGGCTTGAGAACGGACGCGAATGCACTTGTAAAGCTGCATATTCAGAGCATACAATGCCTTCTGTGGGAACAGGAGACGCCGTGGGCGAAATTTTAGTAGGTTTGGGCTCAATCACGCTTGCCGTAACCCACATTTCACTGGCAGGCCTGTTAGACTTGCCCGATTGAACGTGTTTGCAGTGTCTTAATCATTACGAAGCTACTTTTGTACCTTCAGCTACTACATGAGGCAACGTGAGAACAATTTTGACACAAGTATGGTCGCTGTGTCACAAGGTGTGAACCACCGACGCTCATTGCGGACACGTCATTTTCGGGCACTCCTTGTCTGGTCACATGTGCACGAACAAACCTGTTTACTCTGATGTGTACGTCAACGCTACGGGAGAACTTTGTCTACTCGGTTGCGGCCGGCGCACGCCTTGAACGACTGATGTCGACAAAGTAGTCTCATGCATCATGAATACTAGACTCCGGACGGAACGTTTATGTACTTGAACTTGTGGAATCTGTGATAGCACGCCTTGTATGCTGCAGGGACTGCCGATCCATGGTTCGGTGTTTTGTGTTGTGCTGTGGTGTCTGTGCTGTGATGCTACTGTTTATGTTGCATGCTTTCACTGTTGTACCAGCGCTGGACGCTTTGCCGTAGATTTAGAGCTGAAATTCTGGGGTGAAACGGGTCGATCAGTTTGAAAACCGACTCTGGGGAACGCATTGGTCAACCATTTCGAATCAACGCTGGCTCACGAAAACGCAAGGTCGTGGAGCTTGCGATCGCTGTCATAATTTTAGTACGTGACTCGTGCATTAGCGTTGCCATGGGAACTGCCTGAATAATTGACTCATGGGTGATAATTTGGACCATTTTGATTTTACAGTCCTAATCACCATTAGATAGCAAGGTCATCAGAAACCGTGGTGATCCGATGGTTATACGGAATCAGGTCCTGGCTGTGGCGGCCGCACTACAATAGGACCAATATTATAGAGGCCTTTGTATTTAATTAGGTGCACCTTAGAGAACACCATATTTTCAAACTTTCCGGGCCCTCTGCTGCAGCGTCCCTCATAATTGTATCGTTGTATTGTGGTTTAATGATTCTCAATTTTCATGAAAGGATCATAAGAATGTGGAGGCTGTGAACACTACAGAGTCAACATCAGGAGTTATGAAAAGATGACAAACCTCAGGGTTGTTTTTACGTCGCTACACACGTTAAAGTGAAATCTGGTTATCCACTTTTTCAATGTTCGTTCTTGCTTGTCTTCGCCTTAGGTTCGCGTTTGGGATCTGAATCAAAATGAACCAGCTGAAAATATTTCGAGGACCTTGCGTAGTTCATGACGGCAGGAGTGGTTGCAAATCGCGTTGCTCAGATGTTCCTGAAATACACTAGCGAGCTTTGCGCGAACCAGAAAATCACACGGAGAAGAAAAACAAGGCTTATTGTGATGCATACCAAACGTACGGTGAGTAGCACGCCACTTGGGTTTGAGAGCATACTCAGTCGCTCTACCAATTAAATTATCCTTAATTTGCACACAGCTCGTTGGAGCCAGTTATGTTTAACGTATGGCTATTATGAACTTTATTAGGTGACATTGAGAAACGTTGCTATACCCACCATTTGCCATCGCTGCGTAGCTATATCTCTCTCTTTTTGTCTAGCAGCATTTTAACGTGCGTCTAACCCAATCTGACAGCCTGAAGCCGCGACATGAAACGATGTCAGATTTGAGTTGCACGTGGTAGATGATATTTCTCTGCACAATGTACATATTTATTTGTGAATGCTTGTCCTGTCTCCAATTATTCAAGAATTCGTGATTAGGGCTCGGAAAGTTGGAGGTCTGGCTTTCTGGTAAGCGTTGCGACTGGCACGGGGAGAAGTTTGCAAAGTGATCCACTAAAACCAATCACTTCACTTCCTCTTGCAGTTTACATAAAAAAAAAAATCTAAAGGGTGATTACAATGGTGCCAACGTCGACTTGTTTATTAAACAGGGTTGCTCATTTTGAGCCCGTTTATGGTTTGCTTGACTATATATGCCTTACCATGGAACACAGCAGGTACTCGCCTTGTGCCGAGTTATAGGTTCGGGTAGACAAATGATACATTCTTTATGGACCAGTATGGCCGCAGTTCTCATGCTTTTAGAATGAATGTATTTACGTAAGTGTACATATATATTGGATCATCGCATGTAAGCCTTATTAATAATTCAATTCATGCGCAGAATCATCACAGCGCCAGGACGGGGCTACGCTCTGTACATATGTTCCTAATAATCAATAACTGCACTGCATATACTTGATGTATAGAGATTTCAGGTGATCGAATATGCGAGAAGTTATGAAGCGCACGCTGTTAATTTCGCACGCACCAATAAACTTCAACCATCTGGAACATGTAGAGATTGCAAACGTTCGCAAGTATATCGAGAAGTATTCTTTCCGTGTTTAATGTACGCCATAATATTTATTCAATGCTAAACGACACCTACAGTCAAGTGCCTGCACGGAATCGTTTTAACACCAGCTGCGCTCGCACGATGTTGTAGGATTATATTGCGTAAAGCACTGCTTATACTCCTAGCAATAGTTTAAAGCTCTGTATTCGTATCTAGAAAATGGCTGAAAACTGGCTCGGGTTTCAAGAAGCTCGGTAATAGAAACAAGGAGCACTTCTGCGTTGTGCGCAATCAATAAAAGCTAGCTAGTCTATTTTGCACGGTTCGAAGAAGGACGAAGTCTTATTTTGATCTCCTGAAAGATTTTGAGATTCTCACGGACAAAAAACTCCCGATTTTTTTGGCACAATATGTCTACATCTCTGCGTGAGCTGGCAATTGAAATGAGGGGGTATTGGAATTTTAGCTGGAGCGTTTTTGCTAATATTGCGTAAGATTGGGGAGAGGGGGATATCTCGTATCACGTTTACGATAGTTGTGTTGTCTATTTCGCGGAAATATGGTTGGAAGTATATTGTACAGTGAAAATTGTTACGCATTTGGTGCAAGTAGCAGGCTTTCTAACGCTCTCATGACCAAGCCCGTGAGGCGGCTGAGGAGCTCAGTATGTCGGGCCACACGTGGGAGCAGACCGCGACACAGTGACCTGTGTTTTGGAGGCCCCAATAAATGTTTCTCCAATCCAACGCTCTCATGATTCGTTAACACTAGATTTTTTAAAAAGATGTATTAGCGTAAGATATCCCATTTCTGGTGAAGACAGTAAACCAATACCTGAGCGCACCTCGAAAAGTTTCATGACATCGATTACCTAACTTGTTTACTTGTGTAATATTAGCACTCGTGAGCGCTGGTTATGGATGAATAATGGGTAAAAATAGCTCACGATTGTTAATGTTGGCTATTCGCTGCCTTCAATCTAGCATTGCCTTTCTTTGAGTCGGATGCCAATGATATGTCCGTATTCCAATTTTTAAATGAATGTTTGTTGTTGTAGGGTTTCAGTTTGAGATTATTGTGTGCCGCTTGTAATCCACGAAGCCAGAAAAACGCGACAACCTGGTATCCAGTGGCTTTATTTCGTTTTTATCGTTTTGAGGTAGTAGGGAGAAAAAATGTGCAATTTCGCAGAGGTCAGCAATGTTTCACGTTGACCCCTTGGCGCAATTCACTCAGATGCTGCTCTGTTATTTATGGAATATTGTCTTTTACACATGCAAAAACGCCGTGCATCTGTTTTAAGCTGTGCGTGAGAAATAAGCCGATGACTTTTACATTGTGGTGTAATTGGCGTTATTTGTACTGACTAAGCAGAATAAAATGCATCTGCGAATTTGTACCTCTCGAGTTTTGTCACTTATGATACGAGTGAGACGACACTGCCCCGACTGATAACACAACAAACTCCTAATTTTGTCAGAGTGAGACAGACCGAATAAAAGCATGGCGATTAACTGGACGCGGTTGCCGGTTAGACATCCTGTAGCTAGAAAAAGAAAATGGGATCTTAAATCACACAAGAGAAGTCTATGGCACTGTAGGGAGATGCTTCGCTTGGTATTCACAAACATCAATGTTATGGAGTTCTAAAGTGTACGAGATATCGAAAAGCTTTCATCACCTTCGTATCGAATTGTCCCTGTATTGGTTTCTTCATGACGCCAATAAAATGAAGGAATAAGTACTGGGGGGGGGGGGGCTGCAGACTATGGTGGCCCTAGCTGACACCTGTTCTTCGAAAAAGGTCGAATTTAACGCACTCGATGCAAAATATTCAAACTGTCCATTCTCGACAAAACTTTACCGCGTGTCCGTCAGCTATAGTATGAATTAGACCGTCTGTGAGTAAGATCGGTGGTTTAACATTCAAGCAACGGGTTGAAAAAAAAGACGATTATGGTGATCGCCTGAGCTCAAGATATTATGCACTCAATAAAAATTTAAAGCATTGCCTACTGTAGTAATTATTTTATTCTTTCAAGCGTTTATTCAAAATGATCAGGCAACAGCATTACCAAATAAAAAAAACTACGTGTTTCCATTGATATTTTATTGATTTTTATTGTCCTAGCATAAATAGGAATTTCTAATACAATCTTTGCTACATTTCAGCGACTTTTGGCTAATTCTGTGTAGTGTATTGGTACCAGGATAGGACCATCGTCATGATTATCGTTTGGACGGGAGGAGTGTCATTGTCCCTTGCTGTTGAGCATGACACAAGATTGAGAGAAGTACGAAAAATGTGATGAGAAAAACAAACAGTTATGAAAAATTTCAAGTTGCAGAATACGACCAAAGCTAAGCTATAACTGTCCCTTATACACTGTATACACAGCTAGAAAGATATATTTATAGTACAGGTGTAAGGCCTGCCGTGGTGGCGACACCGGAGTCGAGTAGTCAAGGCTCGTCACGTTTATGAAGTCCGTCGCGCCACAGGGGCACGGCCGTCGGCTACACCGTGGGTCCCTGCAGTATCACGTGACTACAGCGTCGGGTCCCCGCAGTGGCTGTACCACTCGTCCTTGTGATGTGCACTCTACGGAGCGAAGCCGCAGGACGTCTTTCGCGTCCTCACAAGGATGATGTCACTTGGCCGAGCTCCTCTCCTGGTCACACCCCGAAGCTCACAGGGCGTTGCTGGGAAGGGAGGTACACCTGGCCATGTGCTCTGCTGGCGGACTTTCGTCGAACACCGTGCCGCTGTCCCCGCACGTCTACGCTTCTTGTAGATGTAGATGCAGGTCCTAAATTTCCCCTTTTACTTGCTTGCTTGCTTGTGCCTATGTTTGGTTCGTACCCACCAGGGGGGATTGGTCGTTAAACTGGCGGTTATTATATTGAGGATAAAATAATTTTATATTTTATTAAGAAAAATAAATGAAACAGATATCTAGGGAATATAGGATTTAACGTTTAAAACGTCTCACAAGCTAATACTTAATGATGTTGTAATTAAACTTTGCCAAACAGTTAAAACTCTCGGTGTCCATTTTCACGAACATATGGCTTGGAATTACCATGCAGAACACATTAGTCACGAACTTTGTGAAGTTCTATAGGTGTGTTGCGTCGATGCCAGAACATACTACCTGTGAAACAAAAAATATTAGTGTACAATGCTCTTTTTTCTTCACATTTACACTATTGTCATCTGGTCTGGTCTACGGGCTCTAAAGCATCTCTAAAGAACCTGGTCGTGTTACAAAAAAATGCCTTGCGGTGCATTGAAGGTGTATCCTATAACGCACACACTGCTTCAATATTTGAAAAATATAGAATTTTAAGAATTACCTGTTATTACGAATACCAGCTTCTGTCAGCTTTTAAATCAGAAATACGCAGAGGAAGTATCTTTTTACGCACCTTGGCCACGTTGCAACCAAATCCTGCCAGTCGCGTTACTCGCTGTACGGAAACTTGGCACGTACCTTGTCCTCGCACAAACTATGGATTTGAAACACTACGTTACCGCCTTCCAAGTGCGATGAACAAATGGAAACTAACAACTGGTAATCTGCGTATATTGTCTAAAACTGAAATGTTAAATCGGATGTGCTGATTGTGTTGTAAATGAATGTTGGGCGATTTCTGTAATGGTTATTCAGTTTTTATTCTTTTTGCATTGCTTTGTTATGAATATTTTTTGTATGTATTTTAGAGTTGTGATTTTATTATTTGCTGTCATGGGCCACATGCGTGTTTCTTTTTGTATTGTCGCTTTCCGCTGCCTGTAACGTTTGTAATTTTTTGTAAATTTGTAGTTTAGATTTTTTTCTGGGTGAAGGGGCCAGTCAAGCTGTGAAATGCAGCTTTTTTCCCTTCGCACCAAACCACGTATACATTGTATTTTTCGTGTACTTGTCACGTGGTTGAATAAACTCAAACTCAAACTCAAACGATACTAAAGGCTTGGACGTGAAAGTAGATACAGAACTGTAA